CTATCACAACATCCCTACGTACACACACTTAGACCACAACTGCCTACAGTATAACTCTTTCTTTTTGAATTAACCTCATTTTAATTTACTTATTGAGTTTATTGTGAATTATCTTTCTTCTTTTTCTCAAACTGAATATTTTTATCTATATTAGTTATATATTACTGCATAATAAATTACCCAAAATTTGATGGCTTAAAAGAATAAATATTTATTATCTCACAGTTTCTGTAGGTAAGGAATTCAGGAGAGGCTTAGCTGGGTTGTTCTGGCTCGGGGAATCCATGAGGTTCTAGTCAAGATGTTGGTTAAGTCATCTAAAGTCTTCATGGGCTGGAGAATTCACTGCAAAAATAGCCACTGACCTGATGGTTGGTAGGTGGCTTCAGTTCCTCACCACATGAATCTCTCCACACAGCTGCTTGAGTGTTCTCACAACATGGCAGCAGGCTTCTTCCCAAAGCTTCCCGTGGTGGGTCTTCTTTCCAAGAGAGAAAAAGGCAAAAATTAAGTCTTTTGTGATGCAGCCTAGGGAGTCATACACTACTATTTCCACAGTATCTTACTGGTTACAAAAATCAGCCCTATCAATGTGGAAAAGGACTATGCCAGCATGAAATGATTCATTGGATACCATCTTGGAAGCTAGTTGCCATACTATTGCTTCTTAGGTTCAATTTCCAGATCATTGAATCTTAGGTGTGAAGCGTGTTTAGACATTAAAATATCAGAACACTGAAGACACTGAGAATTCTGACTGTAGTCCATGGGCCACAGGACCCTGAACCCAAGCAATGCTTTGCATTGGTGGAACACAGGGACCTACCTGGAGGAAGCAATTCTCTGACTCCAGTTGCACCCCTAATTGCCACTGGCATCAAACCAATCAGTGAACTAGGGCTTTAACATGAACATGAACAAGAACTAAGTCAAAACATTCTTATCAGCTGGAAAAAGAGAAGCTGAGATACCCTAAAAATGTTCTGTTGAGCCTTATGTTTTATTTTACGTTTAGGGGTACATGTGAAGAATGTGCAGATTTGTTACACAGGTAAAAGTGTGCCATGGTGGTTTGCTGCACAGATCATCCCATCACCTAGGTTTTAAGCCCAGCATCCATTAGCTATTCTTCCTGATGTTCTCCCTCCCCCAGCCCCCACCCTAGATGGGCCCCAGTGTTTATTGTTCCCCGCTCCCCATGTGTCCATGTGTTCTCATCATTCAGCTCCAACTTATAAATAAGAACATGCAGTGTTCTGTTTTCTGTTCCTGTGTTAGTTTGCTGAGGATAATAGCTTCCAATTCCATCCATGTCCCTGCAAAGGACATGATCTTGTTACTTTTTATGGTTGCAAAGTCTTCCATAGTATATACATACCACATTTTCTTTATCACTGATGGGCATTTAGGCTGATTCCATGTCTTTGCTATTGTGAATAGTGCTGCAATGAACATACATGTGCCTGCATCGTTATAACAGAATGAGGTATATTCCTTTGGGTATATACCCAGTAATGGGATTGCTGGGTCTGCTGAGCTTTTAATTGGAGTAGACAAAATGGAAAGAAAAATCGCTCTCTTCATAAGACTTTTCTGGTAGTTTCAACTCAAGCTTATCTTCCCCCCACCGACTCCTTCTGCACTTGGTATTTTTACTGAACAATTATCTTTCTTATATGAATTATCTGATTGTCTTTGATGAGCAGTTTAGTACTTTATGTCCTGAGAATAACTACATTGAAGTCTAAATCCCTCCCCCCATAGGGTGTTGTCAATTCCTTGAAGTCAGGGAAATTTCCTAAGCTTATTACTCAGGCCACCGTCAGTGTCAACAGATTGTTCTCCAGGAATATGGTCATTCCAACACAGTCACACACGTGCCATCACACACATGCACACCACCGGAGCAGTGCTTGCTAAAGAACAACCTTTACTTATCTTGTTTCGCAAAAATAGTAATTAGACATTGCCAAGATCATACTGACACAGCCATTCTTTATTTAAAAGCATAGTCCAGTAAAAAGTAGACTTCAAAGAGGTACTACCCAATACTCAACATGGTCCTCAAACTTGTGCATTTAAAAAGAATTACAAATACGCATTGCCACATGGTCCTCGAGACTCACATTCACCCTAGAAATGTACCTTCACAGTCTTTCCAATGCATTCTACTTATTAATTTCTCATTCATTTGTTTATTTATCATTTTTTAGCTCCGTGGCTCAGGCTCCATATTAGATGTGTGGAATTCAAAGACAGAACAATGCATTCTTGGCTCCTGTGCAAACAGGTATCCTCAATCCAATGAAATAACTGCTATACTGGGAAGACATATTTATACCAGGTGAGATGGGAATACAAAAAAAAAAAAAAGCCTAAATCTTTCTGAGGGTCAGGTAACTCTGTTCAGAGGACAGAATAAAAGAAGATCAGTATCTTGTATATGGGCAGACAAGGGGTTGGTTAGTTACAGAAGTCCTAGCCAGGAAACCCTCAGAGAGGGTTTTTCCTTACAGTTTGGGGCCCCTTGGGCCCAAGATAAAACATCAAATGGCACCCTTGACAATGGGACACGGCTTAAGGCAGGGACCCTGGGCCCTTTCCACTCTGGGTCTGCTGGAAGGGAAAGGCAGAGCTTTCTAAAAAGAGAGCCAACTGGCCTCTCCACAGGTAAGCCCCGATGGTTTGATGGATGCACTGCTAGCCCTGCTGAAATCCACAAGAGGGAGAGAATCACTGTTAGGGGATTCGTGGAAGAGAAAGATCTGTCTCCCAAAAAAATTTTCTCCTTCTAGAAAACATGGACTTCGAGCTGGATATTAAGGAGACAGAGAAGGGGCAAAAGAGGGTAGGGAGTGAAGTGGAAAGTTCCCTGATGAGCAGGGGTAGCAAGAAAAGGAGAACAAGGCAAAGGGACTAAGAAGAGATTAACTTGCAAGAACAAGTGCTAGACTCTTGTCTCCAGAGGTAGCGCAACCAGAAATCCTGAAGAGCCGCTGGACTGAGAAGAGAAGTGGGAGGTTAGGGTCCCGGGGCGGGGGAAGAGGTGACTGATGCTGAGAAGCCACCGCTAGGAAGGAGAGAAAAGAATAAATGGGAGGGCCAGAAAGATTGATAGGAAGTTATGTAGGAAATGAGAGTGCAAACAGGAAGGGCTTAATTAGGGCTGTGATTGTCTGGCAGGAAAACGGGGAGACTTGGCAGCTCTTGGAACCTGGGGAGGGTAGTCACCTGGGTAAATGGTAAGTGTATTTTCCACAGGGTCAGAGCAGGTTTCGATCTTCAGGAGAAGACAAATTCCTTTTCATCTTGCTGGAGCCAAAGGTTTAAATAGTCAAACGTGTGTCATAGGTAGGTGCAAAGGGAGGGAAATGTAATACATCCTCATGGCCAAGTGCCCTGGGCTTGGATCACTGTGTCCTTGGCCAAGTTAACCAACTTCTTGAAGCTTCCAATGATTCATGTACAAAAAATATACAAAAATACCTTTCATATGTATTCTTCCAGAAAGCACTTGGCACAGGGCCTGGTACATAAACAAATTCAATAAGGGTTAACTATTTTCATAATTACAGTTAGTCTGCGTCGCTAGAAGCACATTATTCAAATGAGGACATGGACTGGTCAGATGACAGCAGAGACAGTGTTCAGATCTAGTGGCCCCCACCTTGTAAGGACAACACTGATCAACTCTAGCCTGCCCAGGGACAGTGACCCAGGAAACCTTGAAAAATGAAGAAACATGAAATATTATTAAAAATTAAGAAAACCCGGCTGGGCGCGGTGGCTCAAGCACTTTGGGAGGCCGACGCGGGTGGATCAACGAGGTTAACAGATCGAGACCATCCTGGTCAACATGGTGAAACCCCGTCTCTACTAAAAATACACAAAATTAGCTGGGCATGGTGGCGCGTGCATGTAATCCCAGCTACTCAGGAGGCTGAGGCAGGAGAATTGCCTGACCCCAGGAGGCGGAGGTTGCGGTGAGCCGAGATCGCGCCATTGCACTCCAGCCTGGGTAACAAGTGCGAAACTCCTTCTCAAAAAAAAAAAAAAAGAAAACCCACAAGTATTTAATCCAGATAATATCTGGGGACACGTGGGGGTTATGTGAAGAGAAAATAATGTTCCGTTTAAGTTTAGGAAATGGCGGTGTTGTTAAAGCTTCTTGAGGCGTCAGTCATCATCCTTTAGTCAAGTTTATAAACCTCTCCAGTGCCTCTGTTTTTTAATCCATAAAATGGGATTCATTAGATCACCTACCTTATAAGATTATTCTGGCAATTAAATAAGTCAATATGTGTTAAGTGCCTAGAATACTATCTGGCACGTAATAAATGCCCAGTAAGTTCTGAGGAGCAACTGAATGACAGAAGTGGGAGTTGACTGTTGGTGCTGGTTATTATTATTGCTATAATTATTACCCTGTGTAACTTTTTAATAGTTTCAGCAATGGAAAAATGAGAAGAGCCTCCTGTGCAGCAGTAATTCCCTCTTACTGTAACAGTTCAAAAAGTCGCTGATAACGACCAGTCAGTCATCAGAGAAAAGACTCCTCGCCCTGGGGGAAAGCCGATTTGTCACCTCCTAAACCCTAGGGCATCCAGCGTGAAGAAGGTAGAACTAGGCCGGCCCGCGGGGAGGCAGGGCAAGGCGCCAGCGACGCAATGACTGCAACACGCCGCCAGGGAGCAGCAGAGCCCGACCCCGGGTTGTTCCATCGCAGCAATCAATCCCTCACTCGCTCCTGGTCTTCCTTCTTAGCTGAGAAGGCTAAACCCCGCGGAGGTAACCCTGCCCATTATGATGATCCAGCCAATCACCGCGTATCCTTCTCGGGAGGGGCGGGATCGCGGCGCTTCCCTTGGTAGCTCGGAGCCTGGGTTCCGCGTTTCAGCCCCGCCCCAGGCGCTGGGCCAATCCCGGAGGCGGGGCAGAGCGTCCCCTGGGACAGCGCCCCGCAGACCACGTGGTCCGGAAGGCGCCGGGGCCAGGTAGGCGGTGGGTTACCCGGCCCGGAGCGGGCCAGGGGACGGGTGGGCGGAGCAGGGCGGACCAGCCCCGCCCCCGTGACCCGCTGTCCTGTGCCCTCTCCCAGCGATGGGCATGCAGCCCCCCAACTTCTCCTGGGTGCTCCCGGGCCGGCTGGCGGGGCTGGCGCTGCCGCGGCTCCCTGCCCACTACCAGTTCCTGTTGGACCTGGGCGTGCGGCACCTGGTGTCCCTGACGGAGCGCGGGCCCCCTCACAGCGACAGCTGCCCCGGCCTCACCCTGCACCGCCTGCGCATCCCCGACTTCTGCCCACCGGCCCCCGAACAGATCGACCGCTTCGTGCAGATCGTGGACGAGGCCAACGCCCGGGGAGAGGTCAGCGGGCGGGGGCAGCGCAGGGAGGGAGGGGCCTGGAAGGTCAGCAGGGGCCGCGGGCGGAGCTGGGGAGGCCAGGCCTGTTGGGACTTGGCTGAGCTGGGGAGGGATTGGGGCAAGCAGTAGGGCCGGGAGACCGGGAAACCAGTGCCGGGGAGGGGGGCGCTAAATGGAATGAAGGAAAGAGAGGGCAAAGCACTGCGAAGTAGGCTTAAGGAGAGGCGGTGGAAACCAGCTAATACTGTGAGTTGAAAAGGAGAAGGGTGTGGACGGACACCTGAGAGAGGTGGGGGTTGAAGTCACGTGGAAGCCATTTACTATTTTCCAGGGTAAGGCTGCCCGAGTATAATGGAACCTAAGTGGCTCCATTTAATGTTAACTTTAGCAGCTGCCGCATTTTTAAAAGGCAGGGAAGCAGATAAAATTAATTTTGGTGATCTTAATGAGATATTTTTCCTTCTTTTTTGTACTACCCCTTCGTACCTTGGTGCGTTTTCACACTACATTTCAATTCGGACTAGCCACATTCCAAGTACACAGTAGCCACAGTAGCCGTGACTAGTGGCTTCTGTATTGGGCAGCACAGGTGAAGGGCCGTGAGGAGGCGGGCAGCTCTTGAACCAGCCACTGCAGAGGCCTTCTGGCCACCCAGTGCAGGGACTGTCCTCCCTGACTGCTGCAGAGCCCTGGGCCTGGCACAGAAGCAGCAGCTGTGGAGAGAACCAAGTGAGGGGCAGGAAACAGTTGGGGGCGGGGGAGTCGGGCGGCACCCATGGCACCCCCTCTTCATAGGCTGTGGGAGTGCACTGTGCTCTGGGCTTTGGCCGCACTGGCACCATGCTGGCCTGTTACCTGGTGAAGGAGCAGGGCTTGGCTGCAGGAGACGCCATTGCTGAAATCCGCCGACTGCGACCCGGCTCCATCGAGACCTATGAGCAGGAGAAAGCAGTCTTCCAGTTCTACCAGCGAACTAAATAAGGGGTCTCAGTACCCTTCTACCAGGCCCTCACTCCCCTGACCCTTGTGATCCATGGGGCCAGAGATGAAGGGAAGAGGACTAAGGAATTAAACCCTCCAGCTCGCATTGGCTCACGACACTGAAGTAGTCCACCCCTGCAGGCAGGTCCTGACTGAAGGGGAGGCTTGTACGGCTTTGTTGAATAAACGAGTTGTACGGACCAGGGCACGTTGCATGGCACTTTATAAAGCACTCCCACACATCGACTTTCAGCCTCACTGTGGCCCTGGATGAGGTGGCCAAAGCTCAGAGAAGCCCATCTTCCCACTTCTGGAAAGTGGAAAGATGGGCCAGAACAGCAACACATATCTTCAGTCCCTTGAAGATGCTGAAATGCTGTGTGTCTGTTCCCTGACAGTATTTGATGTGTTTTCTTCGGTGCTCGCCAATGAAAAGGATTCAGGTCCAGAGTAGCCTCGCCTCTTGGCATTCCCAGGTCGCTGATGCTCACAGGCCAGGAGGCCCCTCCATGTAGGCCCACCTGCTGCACACGTGTCACCCTTCTCTGGGGGATGACAACCTGGATATCACAGCCTGGATGTCACACTCACAGATAATCACCGTCTCCACCTCTCCGGGGCTGGGCACCTCTTACCAACCTCAGATGCTGCTCAGCCCAACTTGGGCTCTCTAGCCCACTCTCCTGCCCCACAATCTCAGGCCAAAGGACCCAGGAACAGAGACAGTCTAGGCAGTTACTAGGAGCAGAGATTTGGCAATTAAATGAAGAGCTCCAGGGCCCTAAATCTTGGCCACTTTTCTCAGGTGTTATCTCCACTTGTCCCCTGTTGGATCCCATTCTGCCCTCTGGTGGGCCCCGTTTTGTCGGCACCACTACACTTTTGACTTTTGAGAGATGAGAAGAATGGCATACACCCACCAAATGGACTGTTTGCTGTAGTTCTGCCTGAATCCCTGTGCTCTCTTCTGCAATCGCAGGCTGAATAAGATAGAAATTCACCATAAAATGTGTGAGTGCCTGTCTGTACCTGTATGATTCCTGTTAGATCTGGAGACCACACGGTGGAATGAGACATGATTCCTGCTCTCAGGAGCTCAGCCTGCTGGAGAAGATGGGCACAGATAGAGTCCACCACAGATAATAGATGCTATTGTAGACATGCATTCCAGTCACAGTGGAGACATAGAGGAGGGGGGTTCAAGGGCTCCCCTGTAGCTCTCATCTCTTGTATCCTAGACCAGAGACAGGCCTAGCCACCTGGTCCTCCCTTCTGCTGCTTTCCCCCTTCCACTCCTAACCACCCAGTTCATCCCTGTACAACTCAACCTTAAACAAAAGAGATACCAGCTGACGTCCTGCCAATCTAAGAGAGGTCACAAGATGCCCTCTCCCCGGTTTTCCTTTATTTGTCAAATCTGAGTGATCAGTTCCTTCAAGCCTAGTCCCCACCTAGCCTACTCAGGTTAGGATGTCTCCCAAAGAGATGAAACCCACACATTCCAGGCATTCCAGCTGCAACAGAGGAATGAGAAACAACGCAAATAGAGGATGCACTGAAACCCTTACCCTCCTGTCACCAAAAGTTCTGTCTACCCTGCTCACCCCCATCCACCCCTCCCCCAACAGTATGGCCCTGTTCTGTTTCTGATGCAAACCAGAACATCTTCCAAAGGGGTGTGTGTGTGTGTGTGTTCATGTGAAGGGAGTAGGGCATGAAGGGTGTGAATGGACCACTTGCTGAACCCCTTCCCCCTAGTCTGAGAGCTTACCAGGATGGAGAGAGAGAGAGTTGTGTGGCACGAAGCTTCCCCCAGTACATGTCTCCACTCTCATCCTCACCTGCCAGGCCATACAACCAATCCTTGCTTTTTCTACCTCTTTGTTCCTGTGTCACCCCATCCTCCCCACATCTCTGCACTGTGGAAGAGGAATATGCCCTTCCCTTCCTCCCAAAGCTCCCTCAAAGGAAACAAAATCTAACCCCATGAAAGCCCTGTGTACTGCCTCCATCCCCATAATTTAAGCAAGTCTCTGCCTCAAGAGTTCCTTAGGGAAATACACATATAATTAAGTGCTTAAGGAAACTGCTTTTTAAATAAGTAAGAGTTGACTTGAAATGAAAAACTCTGCCCTTGCATCTACCTGGGAGGTTAGCCTGAGGCTTCCTTTGGGCTCATTCCCACTCCCAGTTTTTTTTGTCTTCTCACCAAGGCCTCTTATGTCTATGGCTACCAATAAGGGGTAACAGACTAGTCATGTCCCTTCCCATTCTACGCTGGAATAGATGATTTGTGCAAGGAACAAGCTACCACCATCTAAAAAGAACATTTACCTCAAACCGGGTTTCTCAACTATTGACTTTGGAAGAGGGTGATTCTTTGTCGCTGGGACTGTCCTGTGCTTTGTTGGATCTTTAGCAGCTTGTCTGGCCTCTACTCACTACATGCCAGTAGCATGTCCCTCCTCCCCATAGTTGTGACAACCAAAAATGTCTCTAGACATTGACAAGGGTCCCCTGGGGGAGCAAACTCGGCCTCAGTTGAGATCTGCATCAGACCAGCAAGCACTAGATGTGGCCATGGGCTTTCATTTCTTCTGAGAGTGGAGGTGGGAACACACTTGGTCTCCTGTGGATGCACACGTCTTAACAGGACAGAGAGGACCAAACCTCCTACCTTTTCAAGCAATGTCTGGCAGCCATCCCCGGTCCCTCAGCCTTTTTCTTGGCTGCTTTCCCCAAACAGTAATAGATACCACAAACTTTCCATATTCAGGAGACTTTGATTCTCAATGAGCTGCTGATGGGCACAGCTGCAGTAACATCTACTCCCACCCCCATGTCTTTTTTTTACGTTTAATTCATGTTTATTCTCTGGTATGTGATCAGAGTTCTCTGCTGAACGGAGGCTTCTCTATCTGGAAAACATTCCTTAACGTCATTTGGGCTCTGCAGCAGTCACCTCTTGAGTTCCTCTTTCAGAAAACTGTCCAGATGCAGAAACAACTGGAAGCAGGTCAGGAGTGACAGCCACACTCTTCTTTGAGAAGATTCCGCTGCATCCTGATTCTCCCACCTCCACTTCCCCTGGAGGACTCCCTGACTGGGGCCCTTTTGCTCTCTGGGCTCTGGATTCCATGACTGCCTCACAAGCCATGTATCCCAACACAGGCTTCCTGCTGCAGAGAGTACTGACGTGGGGAAATAGGCTACACACCTCCCTTGGATCTATGCTTGGTCATCCCCTTTACATCCTGACCCATTCATGACACGGGGGGCTCCTGTCCACAGGAGGCTCATCACTGCTCTTCCTCTGACTGAGGAGATGCTCCTCATCACACCTTCCCACCTGCCCCTCATTGTCCCCAAGATCCAGCCTTCCCAGGGCAATGATGAGCACATTACCTGGGGCAGAGATCTGATCCTAACCATAAACCATTTCCCAGAATGCACTGCACCATTTGCCAAGTTTCAAATCAAATGTTCTGCTGTCTCTATCCTGCCATTCTTTCTGAGAATTTGGTCTCACAGGATTGCTTTGTCACAAAACAATGTCAGTCACCATAAATGCATTTTACATTTTGTCATGACTGTACTTTTCTCACTTACATAATTGCCGTCATTTACAAAGTGCTTACCATATAGCAGGTGTTTTACATACATTGAGTTATTATTTTATCCTTGCAACTCTGCAAGTCACTCCCCCTTTTTATAGATGAAGGAACTGAGATTTAGATAAGTAACATGCCCAAAGCCACACACTGCTGATGGAGCTGGGATACAAACTCAAGTCGTAACTTCAGAGTTCGTGTTTCTTTGACCAGACATCCCATTTGCCAAGACTTTTCCTGGGTCAAGCCCACAAAGGAGCCTGCCTTCATGATTAGTCTTGGCCTCAGGGGCCGTCTCATCAACACGGCTTCCAGTGACCACTCTTTATTCTCTTAGGAAGCCAAAGAACAACCCCGCATCTGACACTGATGTCAGTAGCACCTGAATTATGTGCTTCTCCTTAAAATGTGGCCAGATGACATTTTGGTCTGGATGATAAAAAGTAAATAAATAATGTGGCCCGAGTGTTTAAGAGCAAAATAGTGACACTGATTTATCAGGGTGGTTCTGTCACATCCATTATTATCTAACTCAAGTGTACAGATATCCTTACCTGGCATGACAGTCTTAAGGCATGTGTGTTTGGTATCAAGCCCTCAAAAATGTCTTTTTATATCTGATGATTTACTGAACACCCTAATACCTTTTCTGGTTTTCTTGTTGTTTGAGCCCGTAATGCAGGCCAGGGACTGTGCCAAATGCTTTACAGACATTATCTCACTCCATCCTCAAAACAAAAAAAAACAAAAACCCTATGAACAAAACATTACAATCACCAGTGCACAGATGGATAAACTGACCCAGAGCGTTTAAGTGATCTGCCCGCAGTCACCAAGCTGAACAGGATTCAAATTTCAGGCTGTCTAACTCTAAACCACCTTCCCTCTTGGGAGCAGAGAGAATAGACTTTGTTGTAATTAGAAAATATGTAACAGCATCTTGTGTTCCCCAGAATGGAGGCATCTGGACTCACAGGGCCGTCAGTGGAGCTCCTGATCCCACAGCCTCCCCGGCCCCGCTGCTCAGTGTTCAGTGGTATAACTCTGACTTGGGAGGGTGCAGGCTGCCGGCACAGTCGTCATCTCTAACAGGCTTCTGCCTAAAGCCTCCAACACCATCAAAAATATAATTCCCTGTTGACTTAGAAATGAATTACATAAGCACTTCTCCCATTACTTTTAAATTTTTCTCTGGCTATTATGGATTCGAGGCATGCTCTTGAGAAGACAGCATGCTTGTCCAGGCAAGCAGAAATTTAAGAAACACTTTGGCGCGTGTCCATGCCTGAAGTTGATGACTTATTTGCAACCTTGAAAATGCAGTTTTTTCTGCCGATAAATTGCTTAAATTTCTTTGACAACTCTTTCACCCTATTTGTCCGCTGATTTACTCGGTCACTGTGGATAACCAATTCATGATGTTTTCAATGCGTGGCATGCAGTATGGCAAACAGTTCTGGGATTATTTCCCTGCTAGCTTTGGTCAACAAAAAGAGTCAAACTCTCAAATATTTTAAGAGATTTATTCTGAGCCAAATATGAGTGACCATGGCCCGTGACACAGCCCTCAGGAGTTCCTGAGAACATGTGCCCAAGGTGGTCGGGGTACAGCTTGGTTTTATACATTTTAGGGAGGCACGAGACATCAATCATCAATCAAACACATTTAAGAAATCCATTGGTTTGGTTCAGAAAGGCAGGACAACTCAAAGCAGGTGGGGAGGGGGCTTCCAGGCTAGAGGTAAATTTAAACATTTTCTGATTAACAATTTCTCAATTAACAATTGAGTTTTTCTAAAGACCTGGGAACAGAAAGGAAATTTTCAGGTTAAGATAAAAGATTGTGAGCCAGGTGTGGTAGCTCATGCCTGTAATCCCAGCACTTTGAGAAGCTGAGGCAGGAAGATCACAAGGTCAGGAGTTCGAGACCAGCCTGGCCAATATGGTGAAACCCTGTCTCTACTAAAAATATAAAAATCAGCTGGGCGTGGTGGCAGGTGCCTGTAGTCCCAGCTACTCAGGAGGCTTACGCAGGAGAATCACTTGAACCCAGGAGGCAGAGGTTGCAGTGAGCCGAGATCACGCTATTGCACTCCAGACTGGGTGACAGGGTGAGACTCCATCTCAAAAAAAAAAAAAAAAGATAAAAGATTGTGGAGACTAAGGTTTTTTTGAAATCTTATAGTGGCTGCTCTTAGAGATAATAGATGACAAATGTTTCCTATTCCAACCTTTAAAAGGTACTAGACTCTTAATCTCTTCATGATTGGGAAAGCCTGAAAGAAAAAGATCTAGCTATGCTAATATTCTTTATAGATGCACATGTCCCCCCACAAAGGGCAGCTTTGCAACACCATTTCAAAATATGGCAAAGAAACGTGCTCTTGGGGTAAAATAGTTTGACTTTTTTCTTTGTCACATAATGTTATGCGAGAGTCACACTGGAAAGTAAGTCACAATATAGAGAGTTGAATAAAACCCATCTGATGAGAATTTATGGTTTGAAGGTCATGACTCCCAGGCCCATTAAATAGGAATTTAGGAAAGAAAAAATACATACATACACCAGAGCTTAACTCTCCCCTTTTTAAAATTTAATTTATTATTATTTTTTTAAATGGAGTCTCACTCTGTCGCCCAGGCTGGAGTGCAGTGGCGCGATCTCAGCTTGCTCACTGCAACCTCTTCCTCCTGGGTTCAAATGATTCTTCTGCCTCAGCCTCCTGAATAGCTAGCTGGGACTACAGGTGCATGCCACCACACCCGGCTAATTTTTTGTATTTGTAGTGGAGATGGGGTTTCACCGTGTTTGCCAGGATGGTCTCTATCTCCTGACCTGTGATCAGCCTGCCTCGGCCTCCCAAAGTGCTGGGGTTACAGGCGTGAGCCACCGCACCTGGCCAGTCCTCATGTTTACAGTAAACATACTACTGTATCTTCTTGAAAAATACACATTTGACAATAGTGACTCTACTCCAAACCCAGAGTGACCCCATGGGAACTATTCATCTATGCACCCTCCCACCGGTGACACTGCTTACCTTCTTCAGTAGATTTTGTGTGTCCTTGGGCTTCCCCACCCCAGTGAAATGCACTGGTGTGCATGTTTTCCATAGGAGCCCTTCATGAGCTCTAGCTGGGGCTGGGTGCAGCCTAGAGCCAGGGAAGTGAATTAAAGCAGCCGCATTGGGATCAGGCCCACAGACAGAACCACGCCGTCCTTGACCACAACCTGTGAGGACCTGGGGAATCCAATCATTTTCTTCACCTTTTCCCTCACCTCATGTACTCCCCTCTCCCACAGGCTTTGTTCTCTTTTCTCTACCTGCGCTGGGGGGTCCCCAGAACCACTCTCAGTTGGGATGATTTGCTAGGACTCCCAGAACTCAGAAAAGCTGTTGTCCTTTTTTTCCTCTCGAAATATTACCCTGTCTTGATATACTCTCGATTATAGTTCATTGCAATGAAAGGAAACCAATTAAAACCGACAAAAAAGAAAGGTACGTAGGGCGGAGTTCAGAAGAAACTAGTGCAAGCTTCCAGTTGTCCTTTGCCAGTGAAGTCACATGGACAGAGCTTAATACTTCCAGCAACAGTGTATGACAGCTCACACAAAATACGGCCAGCCAAGGATGTTCACCTGAGCCTTGGTGTTCAGCATTTTGTTTTTAGTTTAGTTTTGTTTTGTCTTGTTGGGGGGCAGGGGGGCAGTCAGTCATGCAGCATTCACATGACAGAGGTCAGACTGAAACAGCCTGGCCCAAAGCAGCCTAGGCATATAAACAGGTGCTCACCATCAATCACACTGTTAGCAGAAATGATCAGGCCTCGCTCATGGTCTCAGGTATACAAAGACATTCTTACCATGCAGGATATTCGAGGGGTTCAGAGGTCTCAGGAGCTAATCAAAGGCAGTCGGACCCTTGGAATGTGCAGGGTTTGGGCAATCCTGGCCTGCTGAGTGGATCTTTCACTGCACACTTTTTTTTTTTTTTTTTTTTTTTGAGACGGATTTTCGCTCTTGTTACCCAGGCTGGAGTGCAATGGTGCGATCTCTGCTCACTGCAACCTCCGCCTCCTGGATTCAGGCAATTCTCCTGCCTCAGCCTCCTGAGTAGCTGGGATTACAGGCACGTGCCACCGTGCCCAGCTAATTTTTTGTTTTTAGTAGAGACGGGGTTTCACCATGTTGACCAGGATGGTCTCGATCTGTTGACCTCATGATCCACCTGCCTCAGCCTCCCAAAGTGCTGGGATTACACACTGCACACTACTTTTACTGCATTATTGCACACTCATTATGTCCTCTCCACATGACAGTCTGGGCACATGGGATGCTTCCTTCTCCAGCTCTTTGCCTAGCTCCCAACTCCTACTGACCCCTTCTGGTCCTAGTTTAAACATCACTTTTTCAGGAAAAGGTTTCCAACAGGCCCCCAGGTGTTCCCAAAGTATCTGGTCCTACTTTGAAGCCTTTTGCTCACCAATAATAATTCAATTAGTCATTTACTGTTTCTCTGTCCACTGCTACAGTCTAAGGACCATGTGCATTCCTGTAACACTTAAGGCAACGCCTGGCACATAGATATTCAATAAACAGGTGGTGACTGACTAACATGCTGTCACTTACCTATCTGCACATAGGTGAATAAATGGGAAGAAAATAATACCTGTAATGGATGGATCATCTAGTGGAGACATACATGGCATTATGTACCCTCCTAAGTATAAATGCAAAGTTGGATACAATTAGCCAATATGCAATGCATAAATATTTAAGCAATGTTATAGTGATTGAAGAGATAAGAGGAGCGAAATTTGAAAAGATGAACCTTCAAAGAGACGTGAAGGGTGAGGTTGGATAGCCTAAAGGGATATACAAATGCCAGATGCTATTAAAAACACCAATGTTATGTGCTGAGTGCAGAGTCCACAGAGGGAGCTTTAGACAGAGGGGTGAACAGGATAAGGGGGTATCAGTGAAAGGAAAGAAAGAGATGGGGAGTCGATTGGCGTAGATAAGGTACAAACCTCATCCAGTGGGAAGCAGGAAACACAGAGTTAGGTGAAGATAGTGAAGGGGCAGCAGAAACTCATGCCAAAGGGTTTGGATCATATCTGATCAACAGTGTGGAGTCACCACAGTTTTCTGAGTAGAGGACTTGTCACTAGGTCCAATTTTTTTAAGTGAGACTGTGACAGCATGGCTCTGTTACTTAGCCCCAATACGGTGCATTATGATTTAACACTGCCGAAGAGAGACGGGATCTCACAGCTGCTGATTTTTAAGGCTTTTCAGAAGATGAGAGTTAAGTAAGAACCTGCTTTTCCAGCTTGCTGGAAGTTAATGACTTCGATGTTTTGCAAAAGAAAGTAAAGGGGTTGTTAAGTCAGAGTGCTCACCCTCCGGGCCTGCGGGTTAGGATTTTTTAATGCTTTTCAAGTGGGAAAAGATCTCAAGTGAGTGTCATCCCTGCATGCTAGAAATATATGTCTTTCAGACAGCAGCTGGCACAGCCTCCCGCACACCCACTGCTCTGCCTGATTCACTGCAGTCACATTTTAAATCTTGGAATGTTGCCGTAACTCAGTTGACCCAATTCACAGGTCCACAGAGGCAGCGACCCTGGTGCTGCACCTCAACCCAGCACCTTGTTATTTCTCCCTCTTGCCCCAGGTCAGGGGGTGTCCTGAGCCTTCAAACTTTTTGCCTCAGTTGCATCCCTACTCTTTCCCCCTCTCTGCCACTTTGTCTGTCCACTTCCCCTCAAACCTGTCTTCTCTTCTCCCAATAGGGATCCATTTGTTAAGCACTAAGGAGCCACACAAACCAGGTCCTGTGTTTTTTCTTTAACAGAGAGCGTGCTATGTGCCGAGGAGGGGCGGGCTGGGGACTACAGAGACAGCTCCCCGCCGAGGAACACCCCGGGTCCTGGAAAAGTCATGGCGGCTGCAAATGCCAGACTCAGGCATCTTTTGGTCAACACTCTTCACCTGAAGACCTAGACAATCACAGACCAGCACAGGCACCAGGGAGTCCTCTCCTGCCCCTCACAGGGGACTGCAGAGCCCAAGGTGGGAATGGGCGGTGGGGACAAGTCTGGGTCTCCACATCGTGTTCTGCAATCCTGTGTTCCCAGATCTGCCCTGGCACCAATGCTCAAATCCCTCCAGGGACAAAGGAAGACTGAGAAGACATGGAGGCCCATCCAAGAGTCAGGCCACACTCTTGAGAGGGACCCTCAACCCACCCCAACCCACCTCTGCTCTTTTAATAACTGGAAGCCACAAAGAAGTTAGTGGAAACCACAGGTGAGGCAAATCAGAAAGAAACTAAGACACTACAAATTAAAATAAGAATAACAACAATAAGATATGATTTTATATTCACTAGGATTGGACACACACACACGCACATATTCATACACACACCAAATCTCAAAATACTAAAGTTGGCAAGGCTAAGGGGAAACAGGAACTCCTAAACTGCTGAGGATAAGTAAATCAGTACAGTACCCTTGGAGAGTGATAAGTTGACTAGTTCACCCCCAAATCCAGTCACTTCACTTCATATATATTTGCAGACAAACACTGCATTTGAGTAAGTTGGTGACATGGATGAAGCTCCTAACGTATTCATTAACGTGATGCATGTTTTATTGAGCACCTACTATATGCCAAGCACAGTTCTAGGGTCTAAAAATTGAGTGTGAACATAAAACAAAATGTCTGCTTCCATGGAGTATATATACAGCCTTGTTTAAATAGGCAAAAGCTGAAAACAACCTGAAAATATGTTGTTAGGAGAACGGACAAACACTGAACTAGAGATACCAGTATCAACAAAGATGTGTTTTGGAAACAATGGTGGTTGGGTAGGGAAGAAACTTGCTGATACAAAATACTATGTGTATGACTAAAAACAATAGTATAAATTGTGTGTTGGTACATACATATGTTACACAAATAAATGATTTGGACGCCTACCAAACTTGGAATCTTAGCTGCCTCTGAGAAGGGAGAGAGAAAAGACCAGGAAGGAGAACTTCAATTTTAAGTGAAATGCTTTATTTCCTAAAAAGAAAACATCTGAAGCAAGAGTATGCATGAACGTGTTCGCCGTGTGTGTTTAGGATGTTAAGCATACAGATGTTTGTTGTAGCTCATTGGGTCCTTTTTTATTTTAGTTCAAGATAGGGAAGTTTTTGTTTTGTGTTGCTTTCAAATTTTGGAAAAGAATTAGGGGAGAGGAGGATTAAGACCTTATCGCCTAGTAACTCAGGTGCTGGAGGCTGCTTTAAATGTGCCTCTGAGATCCTGACCTCCAACCACCTGACCCTTGTACAGGGAAACTGGGAGAGAGAAGAGCAGAGTCCCCCTCCTGCTGCTGCTGCCCTAGATCTCAGCAAGCTGCTGGGTGCCGGCTATACCCACCTCCCCGCCACCAGCTAAGTCAGCGAGAGAGTGGAGCTCCATAATTTCACCCACACTGCCGTGGGAGTGGAAATTTGCTCAGCCACTTTGAAGAGCAATCTGGCACTATCTAGTAAAGTTGAAGAGACACATACTCTATTACTCAGAAAATCTGTTTTTAAGGTTTTACCTTAGAGAAATTCTCAAATATGTACCCAAGGAGACATGTGCAAATGTTCTTTGCAGCGTTGTTTATAATGGCCAAAAATCGAAAATGGCGTCATTATCCTTCATTAGAACAGATAAAATCAGACATGTGTATTCAATGAAATACTATGCCGCTGTGGAGATGATGAGAGCCACACGTGTCAGTGGGAATCCATCTCACAAACGCGGCTGAGGAAAAGGGCGAGTTGCAGAGTCCTCCACCGTAAACTACCATTTACATAAAATTGCAGCTGTTCTGAACAGTACCACATATTGCTGATCAGTGCAGGTATATGCAGTGAAAGTATGAAAACACTTGGGAAGGATGAATGTCAGGTTCAGGGGTTACTTCTGGGAAGGGAGAAAGAATAGAATTAGGGAGGAGTTTATACGGGACTTCAGCTGATACGGCGCTATTTTATTTCATTAAGAAAAACGAAAATCTAGCTTTGTGCAGAGGCAATATCGTAGCCAATGAGGTTTATCCAAGGCACGATTACTGCTAATTGAAAACTTTTCCCGATACGCCACCATGATGACTTGAAATATAGTCGGCATTGGCAATTTTTGCCTGTCTCTGCCGAGACTGAAATTTAAAAAAGAGAGAGAGAAAACCTGAAGCAAATATGGCAAGATTTTTTAATTAAAAAGTATTGGGTGGTGAGTACCCAAACATTTCTTATGCTTTCATATGCTTTTCACTTTTGAATATTTAATAAGATGTATTTATTATTTGTCTTTATTATTTGTTGATTTATTTAGAAAGGGCAGGAAGAGAGGTGGTGCATAGGGGAAGAGCCTCTGAGACGAAGAGAAGAGTGGGCCAGGTACGTGGCTCACACATGTAATCCCAGCTTGGGAAGCCCAGGTAGGTGGATCACTTGAGGTCAGGAGTTCAAAACCAGCCTGGCCAACATGGCAAAACCCTGTCTTTACAAAAAATACAAAAATTAGCTGGGCATGGTGGCACGCGCCTGTAATCTCAGCTACTCTGGAGGCTGAGGAAGGAGCTTGAACCTGGGAGAAGGAGGTTACAGTGAGCCCAGATTGTGCCGCTGCATTCCAGCCTGGGCAACAGAGTGAGACTGTCTTAAGAGGCCTTTACAGTAATGTAGGCAAAGGACATTGGTGAACTCCATTGTAATGGTGGCAGAGAAGATGGAGAGAATAAGGTGAATTTGAGATATATTTTGAAGAGAAATCAGTAGAACTTGGGAATGGATTAGGTATGAAGGATGACCGTGAGGTTTGGATTTGGGTAAATGGTGGTGCTGTTTACCAAGATGAGAAAGCTAGCAGGGATAAGAGCAGGGACCATGACAAGAGCTGTTTGTGTGTTTGTTTACTTGTTCCCAGAAAGGAGGAGAGGGACAGAGTTTTATTTTGGACATGTCAAGTTCGAGATGATTGTGACCCACCCAAGTGGAGGAGTAGAGCAGGGCAATTGCATATTCAGGTCCAAAGTGCTCGGGAGAGGTTGAGTCAGATCAGGAGATGCTAATCTGGGTGTCACCAGAGTATGATTTCCAGCCTTGAGACAGTGTAAATAGCAAACCCTGAGCATCCCTACGTTCAGTGTCAGGAGAAAGAGGAGGATCCAACAATCAGACTAAGAAGTGACTGGCGAGGCAGGAGAATCAGGAGAGGGGGACATGATGCGTTCCAAGACAGAAAAACATTTCAGAAGCGGTGCTGAACCGTGGAAATGCAGAGTGGCCAAGTCAGCAGAGGGCGGAGAATCCCCTGTTGGAGCCAGCAACACAGGCGTCGTTATGACTTTAGCAAAAGCAGTTCAGTGGAGTGGTGGGGGCTAAGGCCAGATCACCCATGGTTAGGGGGTGAGTAGAGATTGCAGAAGAAGGAAGGGTGTGGGTAAGTCTTTTGGCCCAAACGGAAGGGAGGAGAAAGATGGGGAGGAAGCTGAAAAAGATGAGCGAGGCAAAGGAGAGGCTTGGTTTGCTTTGGATGTTATTGTGCATGTCCATATGCAGATGAAAAAAAATCCAGTAGAGAGAGAAATTGATGGTGGGAAAGAGTAGAGGGAATGAATGCAGGAAGGAGTGCTTTGAAAAGAGGAATGAGAAGGGAATCCAAGCACTGCAGCCTCACTCAGCAAGTCAGGATTCTAACTCCAGCCCGTCTGGCTCACACGCCATGCTCATTCCCAGGTGCCTCTTTCACTCACCCATGACTATCCAACTCCCAAAGTCCAGTGCGCTAATTCCTTTGCCACCATCTCCGCTAAAGACACGGGTTTTATAGTCTTCACATTTCCATCTGGGTTCTGCATCTACCCGAGGAACTGCAGGAGAAAACACGCAAACTGAGGAAAATTAAACCTGACCGATTTTATGCATTCTAGATAAACGCACGAAATAGACTATGTTTGACAGTGGTAAACAGAGAACCCCAAAAATATCCAATTTATCACTTTAATTATATATGCTTTTCTTCCTCAATCTCCAGCCAAGAATGAGCCCCCAGCCATTTTCGGTTTTTTCTGCGGAGCCATCCCCTAATTTCTAAAGCTGTTTTTGGTAACCACAGACTTCCCGTCAAGGATGTGTTATCTGAACCACGCTGAAGACTTAACCTGCTGCCTACGATGGCACATGCGAGGAGGAATGCAGTGGGTATGTACGAAATCGAACGTAAGGAAATAGAGAGCAGTGTGGAGTTCTGATTCAAGGGAACATCATAAATTAAATTGACGTCCTCTGAAGAAATTCACATTCTCCTACTGCCACGAAGGAAAGTAATAGGTACTCAGTTATTTGGATACTAAGCTAATGCAGAGTCAACCAGCCACCGTTAGGAAAGTAACCTTATCCTAAAATCCACTTATTCGTGAATAAGAGAATGAGAGGGTAAGAGGGCCTGAAGGAGGGCAGGAGAGAAGGTGGTTAGCAGCCATCACGCTGACTGTCGCTGTACCTGAGCAGGAGCAGGGAGGAGGGGGCCTCTGCCTTATTGCAGTCTCCATCCCACACAAAGTGTTGAACACCTGCTTCCAGGCACTGAGGATACAGCAAAGAGCAAGACAGAAATGGGCCTTGCCCTCAGAAAGCTTGCAGTCTCTTGGGGTAGTGCACTCAAGAGGCAATCACAGTACCAGGGGAAGGTGCTGACTGCTCAGACAGGGGATGTATGTGCACCTAACTGAGCCTGGTGGGGGGACAGTGGTCAGGAAAGTGTTTCTGTGGGAAGGGTTGTTGTACAAACTTTTAAATCTAAGCCATGACCGAGATTTAGCCAGACTGGCAGTGAGGGTGGGCAGTCGGGAGATTACAAACAAGGAAAGCATAAAGCACGTGTGTGCACACAAATACACGCATCCATTATCTCAAAGGGTCATGTGAATGGGAACATTATTGCTGCTTTATCTTGCACTTTGGGGAAAGTCAGAGTCATGGCAAGCCGTTTCTGACTCTCAGTCAGGGTGAGTGGAGATGTTGAACAACGTAGGAAACAGAAAAGGACCAGGTTGGGAGGTTGAGGCTTGGTTCAGCCTTGACAGGGTCAGTAAAAGGAGCCTCTGAGACCTCCACATGGAGCTCTCCAGTAAGCAGCCAGATGCTTATATCAGAAGCTCAGGCTTATTGCTTGGGCTAGAAAGAGACATTTGGGATTCACTGGATTAGCGGTCGCAGTTTAAACCATGGCACAGATGAGCATGCTTAGTGAGAGAAACACTCTTCCTAAAAGGGGAAGTGAAAAGAGAAAAGGGCACGGGAGCAGGGGAGGAAGAACTTCACAGCCACTAGAGAAGGGAGGCTGAGCCTGCCGAAAAACATGGAAGGTGTTTCTGGGAGACATGGTAGGAGAACCAGGACAGAGCTGCTTCACGGTGGTTTAACATGGAGGGAATAACCACAGTAACGATAGCAGCGTGCACCCAAACAAAATGAGGACAAAACCTGTCCACTGGGTAAGCCAGAGACGTGAAAGAACCACATCTGAAGCCAAACTGGAATAGGCTGAAGACGAGTGAGGAGTAAACTAACACACACCAGTGCTTGCCAAACCTTTTTGCTTTGTGGAAATACAGAAAATTATATTTCAGTGGACAATGGGCAGTTGCACAAGGCTGCTCCCAGCTGGAAGTACGGCCCCACGCTGGTGCTCTGAGGGCTAAGGAAATCGAGATTTTATAACACCTATAGCCATTTGAGATACACCAACATGTCCCAGAATACCAAGTGGGAAGGTCTGCCACAGAGCACTTTCTCAGCTAGCGTGGCTGTGAACTGGGGCTCCCACAGGGGTGTGGAATCAAGGTGCGCTTGCTGGCTCAGTTTGGTTTGGTTAGAAGAGTCTTTTTTAAAAGGATTTAGCATCTTTCAGAAGCATCAGTGGAAAAAAATCCAGTTGAGATGGGGGCACTGAATTCATGGGAGAGAAAAGGGTAGTATAGCATTGGTGGTATAAATCTCCTTAGAAGATACGAAAGAATCCAATTTTAGGTGGAGGGGCAAATGTACATGATACCGTGTGTGCAAAAGTGTAATTCACTCTACAATCCTAGAAATTGGATGTCCTTATTGCCATGTTACAATTTTAAAACCTGAAGCTTAGTTAGATTAAGTCACTGCCCCAGGTTCTTGCCTAGTAAGCAGCATAGCCAGGACTATAACCTATATTTTTCTGACTCCAAAACTCCTAACAATTATGTTTAGGTGCTAGGCCTAGAGATGCAAAGATGAGCTAGATTCAGTCCTTGCCTTAGAAGAGGTCATATACTAAAAGTAGAGAGAAACACTAAAATAAATATAACATGGTGTGATAAGTAGAATAATGGTGACAAGGGGAGCAATGCTTTAGGAAGCACAAAAACTATACCCAAGTATATGCCTGTCACTTCCTGAACTCATGGAGGCAGGGGTAGACTGGGCAAACCGCAAGGGCTAAAGAGAAATAAAAATACCCGGATGGATGGATGGGTGGCTGGGTGGCTGGGTGGCTGGGCGACTGGTGGGTAGATGGATGGATGGGTGGATGGGTGGGTGGATGGATGGATGGGTGGGTGGGTGGGTGGGTGGATGCTTGGATGGGTGGATGGGTGGATGGATGGATCGATGGGTGGATGGGTGGATGGGTGGGTAGATGGATGGATGGGTGGATGGGTGGGTGGATGGATGGATGGATGGGTGGGTGGATGGATGGATGGATGGGTGGCTGGGTGGCTGGGTGGATGGATGGATGGGTGGATGGGTGGGTGGATGGATGGATGGATGGGTGGGTGGATGGATGGATGGATGGATGGGTGGCTGGGTGGCTGGGTGGATGGGTGGATGGGTGGATGGGTGGATGGGTGGATGGGTGGATGGGTGGATGAGTGGATGGGTGGATGGGTGGGTGGCTAGAGAATAATAGTTCAATATGAATAGAGTCCCTCCTTAGGGCAAGTGATGTTCATGTAACCACAAGAGGTCGCTGCAGACCCGATGCAGATGAATTTTTTCCATTGCCATGCTCTCTCCAGTAGCTTTCAGAGAGAAGGGTTAGGATGGATGGAGAGAGGGAATGAGGGTGGTAACCAGATGCCCCATAGCATTTTCTGCCCTCCATACGCCAGACCCAGGGTTT